TGGATATTAAATTACACGAAAACCATCGAATATTGAGCTACGCCACTTCGTGAGATCATTGATGAGTACAAGAATATATATAAGTCACTTGACAAAGTATCTCAAATTCCCATTCTTATGAGATACGTCATTACGTGAGATGACCCACGATATGTGAGAAATAAAATCAATACATTCCGACTGAATTCTTCAAATCATTACTATATGGCACCAGAAACTCAGATCTCCTAGGCATTCCCACACACAAAACAACAAAACTAGAAAATAGTTTCAGATATATGGGAATGAAATTATACAATCATCTTCCAACATTCATTAAAAATATAATTTCCAATTATTCTTTTAAATCAACCAAATGTTACCCAATGTTATCATAGTATAATGAATAAAGTCATTGTAGCCATTGTTGCCATTTGTTTTAAGTTTTATTGACAGTAATTATATTTTATGTATTTCATAATGTATTTTATTTTCAAACCATTTAGTAAGCGATAAACTTTTCCTACACATTTTGTAATATCTCAAAGGATAAAATGAATATTATTATCATTTTTATTATTTTTGATAAATGATCGAACATTCTTGGAGGCATCTTTGAAAATTTGGAAAACCGCTTCCTATCGCACGTTTTAGCAAATGCTAGTAACTTCCTGATATGGGTGTGTTTCATCTATGCTATTATTGAATTGCTCATTGTCCCTATACATTGGGCGAACTTTGAAACGCCTACTTTACTTTTCAATTATCAAGGTTATAATCGCAGTACTTGCCATCAACAATATCATACATCATATTTCTATAATTCATCATAGTTATAATCAGGAATCAGGACACAAAAAATATAACCACAAATATTGTTTTCAACGTTGTAATAATCCAACACACTCAAAGAGTTCAGAAGTCAAAACAATCATTTAGGACATGCGCAATATCAGTTTCTGGATAGAATAAAATAAAAAGATGAAAGACGGGCATTTTTTATGTCATTCGTATTTCTTATTTCTGCTTATTTGGTGTTTAAACGATTCCATTGGAATGCATACATCAAACTTTGGTATTTTATTTTATTCTATTTCTTATTTCATTCTATTTGCTATATAAACTCACCTTGAGTCATGTCCTCCAATACTTCAATGTTCTAGTTCCAAAAAGAAAGTATATACCATTCTCAGTTCACATAATAATTTCAAGAGAACACTGGAATGTAGGGAAAAAATATAGAAATATATGAAATTGACAATTCATTCCAAGTTGGTTCATGGGAAACGGAAGGAAAAACTACAGATGATCGGTAACCCAGACGCAGTAGACTATGCAGGTAGCCAAAAAAACAAAAAATTAGGAAGTGAACTTGAATTCCGGTTGAATGGAGGACCCATTGCATGGTCATCACAGTGTCAGTAGGTAGTAGCCTTGTCTACCACAGAGGCAGAATACATAGCTTTCTCTTTTGGTGCAAAAGAGGCTATATGGTTACGATTACTATACTTGAAGAACTTGAAGGGTCCAAGCAATATGAAGCAACTCTGCTTATGATCGCCAACCAGGTTGCTATCAAATTAGTAAACAATCCGGAGTTCCATAAAAGAACTAATCACATAGATATTCGATATCACGTTAAGGTGGATCATCATTTATCATTCAACAAGTAGCAATTGGAAGTTGAACATCCTGTTTTCGATGAAGGTGTTCATGCAGATATTCAACAATTATCAATTAACAAGTAACAAGTGAGAAGTTGGCCAACTTTCAACTTCCTTACTTTGATTGAACCAGGTTTTCTTCTAGTGCGCAACTATAGTACGCAGATGATCGCGGATTGGTTTCATCGACTAGTAGAGAAGGCATAGATTGGTCAGACCAATGTCAGACCTGATTTTTGACAGATGTCATGAAATTTGTTTCAACATAAAACAATTGCAATCGACAGAATAATTATGAATAAAAGTAACCCAGTCTCTTCCAGATCAGAAAACATCATGAAACTAGAAATTTCAGCTCCTTATGTGAATTGTAAACAACGGATTTGTAAGGTTATTGCTTTGATAGTCCAGATTTAGGGCATGTGCGCTTGCGTACTATTAATCTATTAATTGTTGATTTGGTTTGCATAAATGTCAACATTGTCCTCACTTGTTAATTGATAAATGTTACTTGATAATTGTTGAATGTTACTGCATGAATCCACCTCAATACAAGATGTGGTAGGGTAAGGACTAGTAAGGAGACATTATCTTGAATTATGTTCCTTCAGAAATGCAGCTGACAGACATATGGACGGAGCTCTTTCAAGAAACAAATTGAACTTCATCAAAGAAGAATTGACAATCATTTGATATCGATGGAAAAGTGGGAGTATTGGAAATGATCTTGATTTATCAGGATTACTTTGATATTATGTTGCTATGTGACGATTTTGTATTTTGTAGTTGTTTCAATAAATATATATCAATCTGATCCTTTTTATCTCTAAACGAATTTTGATGACTGTATTCAGTGCAATTGTCAATCACTATGACAACACGATCGACTTCGATTAATTAATATTCGCCGAATATCCCTCGGACATTGACAAATTCCTCAAGCTCGTTGCTTGGTGACAGCCCTCAGCCTTCGGCTTCGCGCTTTCGATTGTCATAAAATTATCTCGTCTATTATAAATGTCCTAGGGATATAACTACATGATTCTTCTCTGGTCTATACTGCTACGAGCACCCATTTTAATGAAGACAACCATGACGGTCCACCAATTATGGAGTACTCACCTATGGAGGACGACGACGGCGATCCAACAATAGTGGAAGACCTACCCCTAACAACACAAGTACTTCCTAGGGACGTCCCTAATTTCATACAAGGACATCCCAGGGATATCCTTTGTCAGGACAAAGTACATACTAGGGACATCCGCTGGCCGACAAAAAAGGCATACAAGGGATGTCCTCCTGGTTCGTCCCTGGGATGTACCAAGTACGAGGAAAGGATATCCCTAGGATGTCCAGGGCATTCCCTTCGACAGAAATAAAGAAATGTAGGTCGAGTAGGGATTGAACCCGGGACCTTTAGCTCATCAGGCACGCACCTAACTCCATTGGCCCTCGAATATTTGAGTACTGAACAGATTTATAAACAGTACCAAACTAGAGAAACCTAAATAAATACATTTTTGTTAGGGTTTGGGTATGATTATTATAATTCTTGGGTGTTTATAAATGAGGGGCATCATGCATTTACGATTTCTGTTTGCGAAAAATGGTCATTTCTCAAGAGGTTATGAGACCATATTCTTTATTCTCATAACAATTATTTTCCGGATGAAAAACAAACATTTTCAAACAAATTCGACTCGATATTTTGATGAAATTCAATGACTCATGTGCATGGATATCAGATATTCCAGGGACACGAATACGATAACCTAGGGATGCACCGGACGGGATGTCCAATGGACAACCACTGCGAGACATCCCCTGGATGCCCCAATCATGTCCTTTTACCGCGAGACCAAAAAGGGACGTACCTAGGACATCCCTGTGTTGTTCGGGACCCGTCGAAGAGTCCATCGAAAGTGACGGCACAGGACCATAAAAAGCATGGCGACGATTTTGACTATATTTGATCGAATGATTGATCATTGTTATTTTGATGACTTATATTTATATATTTCATGTTTATTTTTGCATAACCACATCGAAACACCTAAAAACAAAAGATAGGATTGGTTTTGGAACATTTCTTCATTCAAGATTTTGACAGGACTACGAGGCCTGAAGAACATGTGTGAGTTGAATTAGAATCTGATGAAATTGCCTACAACTCTTATTTCATGAGTTCTACTAGTAGGATCAATGGTTTAGCCTCAAATTGTTGAACATTCAATACTCCTCGAAAACGTATATAAAAGCTTCCGTGTAAAAATGCACAGTTCAAGGGATATAGAGCACAAACTGAAGAAAATACGAAAACGTTCGCAATTTTTTGTGTGCTACACTTTACCCACAACTTCTAGAGAGTTGCAAACTTGAGTATACTTACTCATTCTTATTTATATGCGTGATTCATAAAATTAGAAATCTGATTGTCTCTATTCACTTCGAGATTTTTTATTATTTGGAAATTATTTTTTGATGGAGAATAGTCGATGATCTCTATCAATCTATCCAACTGAAAGTTGATCGAGATCACACCTCGGATGAAACTGATCGTAATAAAACGCAACATATTCATTAAGATAATCTTTTATTCGAGCCTAATATCCATATCACAATTTGTTCTGAAAGCATTGTGTGTTTTCGAAGTTCAACATTAATATTCCGAAAACCTGAGTAACCTATCAATTTCGTTTCATCATCAGAATATCAATCACATAGATCGGGAGAAACAATAAATACAAATTTGGTATATTATTCCCAAAGTCAATTGCAAAAGCTCCAACAAGAAGCATTCGATGCGCGATGGCAGTACCTCTGAGATTCAAATGGATCTGCTGCTCAAGGAGAACATTTTTTGTCAGACTTTCGCGAGACTTTATGCAATGTTTTCTTCATTTTCGACGAGGTGTTGCTCTGTGTTACATGAACCTATGTAATCAAATTCGGATGTCAAAGAGTGATTTGGAACATCCAATCTCTTTACAATTTTCAAATCACTTGAAACAAATTCTCACACTAAATTCCTCAATTTTTGGGTGTACGACCTAGTGCATGAGGTGCATTTGCAATTCCTACAAATAGAATATCAGATCAGTTCAATCTTAACACTCTGGCTGCCGGAACCCTGTTTTTCTCTCTCTATTACAGGCTTTGTCAGTCATATGTGACCGACGGTGACTTATAAAAAACGGTGCTTGGCAGTGATTTTTAACCGACAGTAGAAGTTTTAGTTCGAGCCGTGTCATGCGAAAACGGCCGACGATGCATTCAAATCTCCATTAGATCTGAATGCATGGCGCTCAAATGAACGTATGTCATTTTTTGTGGTGCTCACAATGAAATTTATACCTACAATGATGCCTCAAAAACGTTTATTGTATAAAATGCGAAATAACTCATGAATATATCTGAATCCAATTATTGTTGGAATGGGTTTTCACATGACATTCAATTCACATAGAAGGCATCTCTTGGCAGCCTTCTCAATGCGTCCGCACTCTCTTCACCTCATTTTCAGCCCCTATTGTTTCACGAGATTTTTGTAACAAATTGAACAATTTTTCTAGCTTTCCGAGTTTTATCCTTGCTGTTATGTTTCAACCCCTGTGAGTTTATCGATAATTTAATAACAAATAGGAGTATATCATGCACTATTACTTATATACATTGAAAAAAATTGCATTGTCAGACCGCGTCGGTCAATTTTGGCTGACATCCTTATATGCCCTTCTGTACCCCAGAACGACTTCATAATGTCTGAGCAGCAATATGCTTAGATAATCACTTAGATGCCCCCTACTCTGGAAATTTCGCGTGGCCTCAGTGGCCTGACCTGTTCGATCCAATGAAACTGCATCAGCTCAACACGAGATCAAGCTGTCGGTCAAAAATGACTGACATGGCAGTCAGAGTGTTGAACTTGATGGTTATCACTTGTGTTTCTGATACCAATTCCCGAAGTACACTAAGAACTACAACTAGGTATTCACACTTCTATTTATATTTGTAGACTTATTCAAAATTTGATCAGAATGACTACCCAGTACGAAAACACTAAATTATGGTGTGTCTCAAGAGGATGACTAGCCTTCACAATGCTTTGTTATTCATAAGACACACAGACAATATTCTCGAAAATGAAAAATATATCACAATAAAATCAGAATGTATCATACGGCGGTGTACCAAATGTTTTATAAATTCTGTCGTAGAATTCCATCTGATTCCTGAATGGATTTTCCAACAATTCCATATTTGCATCGATATTCATGTAATATAAGTGATCCAGCTCTACAGGCAGCCATATTTCATCCAGAAGAAGCTCATCTATGGTTGGTGTAGGATTACTGAAAATATATTATGATAATTTGATAACGAAATCGTAGTTAGATACAGACATATATATGACTAGAGTTACAGATAAAGTTACACTTAAAGCCGATCGTATAATAAGCAACCTATGTCTCAGCTGATGAATTAGTAGAAATAATTGCTCATTAATTCTAGTCCATACACGGTTAGAGTTACAGAAGTAGTAACAGTTAGAGTCATGAAAGGAGTTACAGAGTTAGCTTCACTGTTATATTTATAAATAAATAGTTGCGGTTGTATCTAAATGTTGAATCAAACAAGATTTTGGGCAAAACAATTTACTTAAAAAAATGTATGAAGGTATTAGAGAGTGTTAAACAAAACCGTAGAAAGAGGTATTTACTAGGGGGAAGATGTGTACTAGTTGCATACACCTAAGTGATCAATAAAATGGGGAGATTTTGTATTTCGTGTAAAATTTATTATAAAATCGCAAAGCGCTTTCGGCTGAAAAGCCCTTATCAGTGATATACCTGCAAGTAAGTAACATTGATGAAATTTCGTAAAGACGAATCAGAAAGTGTAGATTACTTACTCGTCAAGTATTCACAAAAAGGTCTGCCGAATATCTGACATACAGAGACTGAGTGTCAATGTACATGACTGAGTTAACATGAATATGAAGTTGACAAGTGGCATAGTGACCACAGCGCGTGAGAAAGAATTGACAAGGTGAGCAAATCAAATGTCTGAGATTTTGGAAAATGAAATGAGAACAAATGGACTTCATTCCAGGCCAAAGAGTAACAACCTTTATAGTACCAATTGGAAGGAAAGATTTCCAATCAAGACTTCAGAGTCCTGGTGTTCAAGCTGAGAGTTCAAGGAAAATACCTGTAGTTGAACGCCTCATAAGAAGCAAACATACCACCAGACTACCTCCCGACTTAGAGCGAATAACGAACTCAAGTCCCAAATGTGAGCCGGATCCTGATTGCAATTTTGTTGTGGTGGGTGAAAATTGAAGAGCAAGACTTCCATTTCGGACTTAAAATTCCTAGTGTTCGTGCCGAAGGTCTAAGGATGCCCAACTCAAGTTGCAAATCTCAAAGAGACTGACAACATCAGCTGAGCCTCCCTACCTCAAGCGTAGACCAGACTCAAGTCCGAAAAGTAAGTCAGATTTTGACTTGGTGAAGCCGAAATTTGGAACAGTGCCTTGTATTAGTTATGATGGTTATCATCATGGAGGAGTACTTGTTATTTCAAACGTCTATGTGAAGGAATGTAATATCAATTACATTGTACTTGTGTGTTCAAATGAAGGTTCTTGTTTCGTAGTTCTTTTTCGATTTCTTAATCCTTCAAAGAATCTAGTCTATCGTAGTTTTTTGAATTAACCTCCTAAAAAATCTCCTAAATACGATTGAGACTGAAATTATATGTTTGATGAATTTGATGTGATGGCCAAATGCTGAAAATTCTGTTTTATTCAAATGTTCTCCTATACCAACATTCGAAGGTCTACAAGTTCTCCCTATATATGAAGCTTCACAATTGTTACAATTCAAATTGTGAATCCCACTATTAGATAATTTATTGATTTTATCTTCAGAATTAACCAAATGTTTACTAAACTATTAGTACTTTCGAAAGATATTTTAGTGTTTGTTAACTTATTTTTGATGATACTTGGAACTTTTTGAGAAATGTTTCCATTCGTGAAAGGTAGGGATACATATCTAGAAACTTCTTCTCTAAGATAAGTGAGATCATGTTCTCTCTTGTGTTTGATTTTTCAAATTAGCTTTGGGATCAAATCTGGGTTTTAACCATTATTACATGCTATTCGTTTTATAGTATCTAGTTCTTCATTGTATTCAGTTCATAGTATTTACGAGAAACAGTTTACTCACCCGACTTTCGCAAAATTGCTCCACATTTTGACCATTCTTTTTCTCATCAAATTATCGGTATTTGGGACATCTGTATAATATTGTCTGAAAAGGTATCCTAGCTCTTCTGTATGTCCAACTCCTGCAAAAATTCTTAGTAAGAAGATTTATAACAGGAAACATTGAATTCGTTTGGTTTCAAATGCTTCACTTTCAGGGTATACATGAACAGAGCCCCACAAAATCCTGAAATACCTGGAAGGATTGGAGCTTGAGGAGCTGCTATAATCAAGAAAACCTTGAGATATAAGGAGAAGATGGGGCAAAATAGATTTGATCAGGTCGCAGCGCATCTGTGATGGAATATTTTCTGCAACTCTTGATGAACACCATCATGGCGTCAACGATAATTATTGTCTCATTAGTCATTTTGTTCTCGAGCAACCATTGTTATCAACCTTTAGGATGATGATAATTGATGGACGTCATGTATGGTCATGACTTCCTAAAATGTTCTATGGATTGTTTTTGTGGCATTTTATGCTATTATAAGGGTGACTCGAGTTCAATAATTCACATTGTCGTTCGGTAACATAGAGGAAGGTCCTCTATTTCCGGATAGGTGCCATATCTCGGATAGTGGAGTTTCTTCCAGAGTTTCTGATTTCTCACTGAACTACATAACTCTGTCATTATCAAGTCTGTTTAGATTTTTTCTGTATGTTTCGATGAATAATAGTTTATTTTGTGCGCTGTTTGATTGGAGTTTTTGATGAAGTGGAATACTTGCTACCAAATTCACCATACGTTTGTATAATACCTATTTCATGATATTCACATTTTGGATATTCGCGGCAATAGGGAGAACTATACATATACGATTTGTTTCGCTTGAATCAATAATTTTCTCAACGAAGTTTTTTTCTTCTCAGAAGTGCATTTCTGATATTATCCTTTTCACCCATGACCAGTGATAATGATTCAGCTTCAACTTCCAAATTTGTGCATAATTCGTTTTCAATAGTAATTGAAGATACCTGGAATTAGGATACCATCCTATCCGAAATTAGGAAACCATTTTTCAAATAGTAGAAAGTGTACGAATTTGATTATATTTTTATTTCCGAATTTTATTCACAATAAATGTTTTTTTATGACGAGACGAAAAATTGGCATTCTATCTCTCTTGGCAGATTATTAATTGTCACTTCTCATTAATTACTTTCTTTTCACGAGAAAAAATACTTTTTTCCTGAATATACACACCCGACAGAATTAGAGGAACGGGCAAAATTTAAACTAAGTTTGACATCAATTGTCTCTTCAATTTTTTTGTCAAGAATTTCAGTTCGATTATTTACAAATACATTCGACGATTGAACACCTCCAAATGATTCGTTTTATATCATATACAGTGGTAGAAAGGAAGTACGGATTTTTTGGTACTTTTCAAGACATCATGTGAAGTGAATCACGGACAACTGACACCAGTCTGCATCACAATATCACAAAATTGTAGCCTGATATTTTCCGAACATTTTCTTTCTCTATTGATACTGATGTCTCAATCATTCAAGAAAATACAGAGTTTCAAAAACAAATTTTCAGACTGTTCCTAATTTTACCAGCTCGAAACTCGAATTTGATCTCAAAAATGTGTGGTTTCTCAAGTTGTTCCTGTGGAAATTTCCACTTCAAGTTGAAAATATACAGTGGTGATTAAAACGAAAGGTGATATCCTTTAATGGGATCACACGTTAAAAGGTAAGGCCCCCGTCATCCCTTGCTCGCACAAGACTCCCGAAGACTTCTGAGGGTTGCTCGTAAAGGGGCAACTGAATGACGGATAGAACAATTTTAGAACAATTTTTTCTTTTAGAACACCAACAGTGATTTTAATAACGCGTGTGATCTCCAAGCGCCCTTATTACAGCAGTCATCTATCTCTTAATGCTTCCGATGACATTATCAATCATTTCTTGAGGAAGATCATGCCTAATCTCAACCGGAGCTGCTGATACTTTCTCAGGATCCTGTACAATAGTAATAACAATAATATATTCATTCACTTACAACTTAACAAGAGTCAGTAAATAAATATGGAAGAACCACAGAAGGACGAGCCTGTGCGTGGCAATTAACTCACCTGAATATCAGGTGGAATTGTGGGCATTGATCATTCACCTAATAATGGGACACATGTTCGATTAGATTGAAGTTTGGGGAACATGCAGGCCAATTCATCGATCATATTTCGACTGTATTCAAAAAGATGGAGACTGAACGAGCCACGTGAGATCGGGCATTATCGTGCATCAACAAGAAGTTTCCCGATAAATCGTGTTATAGATTTTGATTTTCCCAGCATGTCAGCAACTTCAGTGTACGATCCACCATTTTCAAATAATGCTACTGCCCCCACCACATCAGTAGGATTTATATCTCCCATGTTGAATTTTCAATAACCAAAATAACAAATTTTGAATAATGAATCGCTTGACTTTGACAATAATTAATGACATGAACAAAATAGCTAACATTGATTAACAAAATTAGCATTCCACCAAATGAACATCAATAGTTATTAACGATACAAGTATCTTGAAGATTCATATTACCGAGTTTGATAACCCGTCGATTATCCTAATATGAATTCACGACACTAATATCGTACAATATTCTACCTACTACCGATATGTAATGTGAAATATTACGACACAGATTTCAGTTTCTTAATGAGATACCTCACTGCACTAGTGCAATGAAGTGTAACACACCAGTGCGCTAAAGGGAAAAAATATTCCAAATTTCAGTTAATTACTCAAAAAAAAGAACCTATTTATCATAAATATTGCGGACACTTGAGTTTAAATTGCTTCATTTGCCGCAATTTTCATATCTGAAACTATACTTTCGTGTTCGAAATAGTTTAAATGAACACGTCGAAGTTGATAACAGATTTGAAAGTAAGTATACGCCTAGTTCTTTTTATTTGAGTAAACAACTGAAATCTGAAATGAGATATATATTTACTTCAACGCACTAGCGCTGTGAAGTGCACTAGAGTATTTTTTTTATACGTTCTGGTTCCCACAAGAAGGGATATCCTGTAATGTTCAGAGAACATCGTGAGAACCAAGAGAAATGAGGTAGGAATTGGTGTTCTTCATAAATTTCTGTAGGTCATATGCCTTGGGGAACACCTCCCTTGGCAATGTGTTCCAGAGCCTCGCTATTCGTTGGATAAATGAGTCTCAGCCTCAACTCGACGGGTAAATCATTCCGGGACCCTCGAGGAAGGAACAATTGTTGATATTTCAGGAAACCATCGTCCATGAGAATATCTATGATATAAAGCCGTATCGTCAACTTTTCTTTGGTGTTCCAGATAAGTGAGTGAGTTTGTGAGCAAGGCATCACCCACGAGACAAATTGCCCTTTTTTGGACAGAATCCAACAGTTTGTGGGTATGTTTGGGTGCTGCACTCCGAATATGGAAACAGTTTGCCAGGACAGGTCGGATCTGTGCCTTATAGATCTTAAGCAGCTGTCTGGAAGTGAAATAGCTCCTGGCCCGAAACAGAAAACCAAGTTTTTGAGATGCACTTCTAGCAAATGATCTCACGTGATTTTCCCAAGAAAGGTTATTGCTGATACTAATACCAAGCATGGAAATGGATGTCTTCAAAAGTATGGTTCCTCCTGACAAGCTTATGTTGGGCACAGTGAGATCGGCTTTTCTAGAGAAAAAGCATGCTTGTGTTTTGTTTGCATTGAAACATTGTCAACATTTCTACCTCGTTTATTTCTGATTTGCCTTGCTGGTATTGGAGCCTTTGGAGAGAAGGCGGTATGGAGGGTACTATCATCCGCGAAGCTGTGTACTGGACATGTTGTTGCTTCCAACAAATTGTTGATATGGAGTAGAAAGAGTGTTCGTGCTAGAATTGATCCTTGCGGAACACCAGCATTTATGATAAGAGAGTCAGATAAAACTCCGTCGACCACTACATGGAGAGACCTGTTCGGGAGAAAACTAGCTAGCAGAGAACATAAATGGGGAGGCGAGCCATAAGATGGAAGCTTGGCGAGGAGTCCGTGGTGCCAGACTCGATCGAATGCCTTGGAGATATCAAGTGCCACCGCTGAGGTTTCACCATATTCTCAATAGATTGCTGCCATATATGTGAGACGTGAGCGAGCAGGTCACCATTTGATCTCTGATGACGAAAGCCATATTGCCTATCGTTGATAATACCTGAATGTTCCAGGTATTTCATGAGCTCGATGTTGGTAGCTTTCTCCATGATCTTTGAAATAAAAGATAGCAATGCGATCGGTCTAGTTGCTAGGTAGGGTCTTTTTGCCTTTCTTGGAACTGGTTGTTCTCTCGCAATTTTCTAGTTGGATGGAAATATCCCCAATCTGTATGTGTAGTTGAACAACATGCAGAGAACTGGTGTTAGTTCGGGAGCACCTTTATGGAGAACAATCGGTGGGATTCCGTCGGAGCCATAAGCTTTGTTGGTGTTGAGACCCAATGAAATCTCCCTTATAGTACGTTGGCGATAGGTGATCTCGAGCATATGACTGTCAATTGGCGTTACGTATGGAGGTTGTTTTCTCGATGAGTCCAGAGTGGAATTTCCAGCAAATAAATGCGCAAAAATGTTGGCTTTCTCCTGGGCAGTTGTTGCTAGTGTTCCATCTTTCTTGGTTAGATGAGGAAACGAGCTGGAAGTGAAGTTTCTTCCTACAGCTTTGGCAAAGGATCAAAATGAACGGGATCCGTCAGGACATTCAACAAGTATCGATCTTATTTTGGCATTATGAGCATCCTCGACATATTCTGCTCTAGTCTCAAGGCCCGGATTTTTCTGTCATCGATGGAATGCTGCCTGTTTGGAAGCGACAGCAGATGTTCTCCTTGCAGTGTTCGGTATGTAGGTTTGCATCCCCAACATGATAATTTCAGAAATCGTCTAAGCACATCGTGTTGGATCTGCTGAGGGGAAACAAACTCTCTTCTATGAAAACGACGAAAAAAACATACGAAGACCTTCCTAATCGGCCGAATTGAAATGCCACATGAGACGGGTAGGAAAAGAGCAGGTTGTGGAGATGAGGGTTCAATCAGAGTTTCCAAGTGGGGCATAAACTTCTATTCTACATGAATCAGTATTGCTGGTGAGAAAAAGATCTAGTGTATTGGCAGACTGGTTGTTGACATCTGGAATGCGGGTTGGTAGTTCGACTAGTTGTTCTAGACCATGAGTAATGGCGAAGGCCTCAGTTTGACGACCTGCATCATCTGTTCTGTTAAAGAATTTGAGCCAGGCTGCGTTGTGTACATTGAAGTCCCCTATGATTATGATTTCAGCTGTTGGATGGTTTTCCTGAATGAAGTCCAGTTTGAGTGATAAAAACTCGAAGAGGTTGTTATACTCATTATCATCAGGTGATAAGTAAAGGCAGCAGATAAATTTGGTCAGTTTGGTATCGACTAGCTTGAACCACATCACATCAAGGTCTTTCGGTTCCAAGCTCTCTACACGCTGGCATTGAAGGCTAGACTTAGCGTAGAGGCAGACTCCACCTTTTGAACCTGAATCGAGAATGGAGTTCGTAACCAGGACAGAGCATGTGGACCTTGTTGATGGACGAGTTCACTTGAGTTTCTGTTAGTACCAAAATATCTGGTTTTCCTTTTGTAGGTGATGGTGGACGTCATCGATGTTTTTATTGAGTCCACGGATGTTGCAAAAATGTCATTACGAAACTGAAATCAGTGTTGTATTGTTTCACATTACATATTGATAGTAGGTGAAGCAAGGAAAATCACTACCTGCATATTCATGAGCTTATTCGTATATGTGTCCTTAAACAATAGGTGAAACTGTGAACAAGTTTTATCCTGAAGTAAAATTCCTCACAGACACAAGTTGAAAAACTACACGTTTTTATCCTCAGATCGAGTGTGGACGAGGGTAAAATTGAGATCAATATCCACAATTTCCTCAAAACTACATAATTTCTGTAATGATTGAGATATCAAAAGGAATGGGAGATGAAAATATTCGGAATAGATTGGGCCACTATTTGGTGTTGAGAAATCGTTTCAATTATCAGTAGTTCACTCCACAGGATGATTTGAAAAATACCGAAAAATCCGTACTCTCTTTACATTTCTGCATATGATATAAAGATGAATCGTTTGAAGATCATTTGTGAGATAAATTCGTAAAGAATCAAGGTACATCCCGTGAAAACAAAATGAACTCGAGTGTTGGGTTCAAGCGAATATTGATGAAGGTTTGCCATAGTCATGGATCGAAAACAGTGGGGTGTTAGGGTTGGGGGGGGAGTTATAATTTTCAATCAATCTAATCGTATAAGCGGTTATTTTCCTTTTCATGTTCTTGTTCCCACGAAGAGGGATATCCTGTAATGTTCAGAGAACATCGTGAGAACCAAGGGAAATGAGGTAAGAATTGGTGTTCTTTTGAAATTCCTGGAGGTTATATGCTTCGGGGAATACCTCCCTTGACAATGTGTTCCACAGCCTCGCTGTTCGTTGGATGAACGAGTCTTCGGAAAGAGATGTTCTGCAGGTCTCGAAAGGGACCACGAAGGGGAGCGAAGCCTAAACTCTACGGGTTTATCTCGCGGGGACTGCCAAGGGAGGAAAAATTGTTGTAATTTCAAAAGAGCATCTTCCATGAAAATGTCTATAAAATAACGCCAGATCACCAACTTTTCGTCGATGTTCCAGGAAAGTGAGTGAGTTTGTGAGCGAGACGAATTGCCCTTTTCGGACAGAATCCAACAGTTTCAGGGTATGTTTGGGTGCTGTACTCCAAATATGGGAACGGTATTCCAGGACAGGTTGGATCTGTGCCTTATAGATCATAAGCAGCTGACTGAGAGTGAAATAGCTCCTGACCCGAAACAAAAAAAAACAAGTTTTTGGGATGCACTTCTAGCAATCGATCTCTCGTGATTTTCCCAAGATAGGTTATTGCTGATAAGGATGTCTTCAAAGGTATGGTTTATCCTGACAAGCTTATGTTGGGCACAGTGAGATCGGCTTTTCTAGAGAAGAGGCATGCTTGTGTTTTTATTCAGTCGTTTATGGTTCATTCATATGAATAAAATTAATTTCAATAAAACTATGTCACATTTTGTGATTTTTCTTTTCTCACAAATTTCATTCGCATGGATGCACGTTTCCCCAGGAATGATAACCTGACCTATGTCACTTCATATCAAATATCTGAGAGAAATTTTGTTTTACTTATGTATTGTCATTGAATGAAATATTCCAGTTGATTTTTAAATGGCGCTGGCAGATCCGAAAACTACTCCACAAAGAAAACCAATTATAAGTAAAAATTACCCACTCAATACAGATTCCGAAATGGTATAACATGTGGGGTTAAATGAGCCAATAACACCGTCTCCGCGAGAAAGAACTGCAAGTCCTTCAAACTCAAATTATACTGAACAACCGTAGGTTCACAATATTTTCTTCAACAAATCACAGAATTAGACTGACGAATATTTGATTACATCAAAAGAATGATGAAGATGCCTGCAAAAAGATGCCTGGAATGCAGGTATTATTTCTGTTTAAAACTTCAAATTTCACGTCGATGATTTTCTGATTTCAATGAAATGTAATATCATCCCAATATTGATTCCTCCTTTTCCCTGTCACAGAGGAGAATAGTGTATTATTCAAGGAAAAAATATCAGATTCCACCTCGGGCTAAAATCTGCAGCTCTTTTTCGTTGTATGAATAACTGTTGTACATTATATCAAGTTTAATTACATATTGACCTGTGCTATGGAGCAAAGGAAAGAAAGGGTACATTTAAGAGCTATCCGGAAATTAGCGACCTTCCTCTATTACTCTCACTTTTATAGGATACACAATATATTATATCAAAGAAGAAGTTCCTTTTCTCACCTGGTAGAGACCGATCGGCAACTCCTCCTAACATACCCTCATAGGAAAAGACATAGAAATACACTGGCACAAATCTGGACAAATCCAAAACAGCTTTTCTTGTGGGTCTGTTGAATTGATCATCACTAACAAACTGCAAATAATATATATTTCGACATTTCAATTTATGGTAAAAAGCCAACTCATAGTGAAATAAATTGAAATTTGAAAAATTTTATGAAAAGCTTTTATTCAAACGCTCTAAAAAGAATAAAAAGAAATATTCCTTGATAATTTTAACTATCAACTTATAACCTCATTATACAGAATAAACTAGTACTAATTCAATTTTGTGAAATCTGCTGAGTTCAAATTTTAAAAATTTCAATTCAATCAAATATTGATCATCGCGTTCTCTACCTACAATTATAACATTGTCCTACTCCTATTATTAGATGCACTCACTAGCGGTAGCAGAGTCAGATACCACTACAGGAACATCGTCCAATAGCAATATACAGGATGCACTCGCTAGTGCCAGCAAGGTTCTATATCTAATAATCGCAGGTGAGTTATGTACTTGGGTAGCACAAATCTTATGTGTATATCTCTACCAAGGAAGCATGCTGAAGCCAATTCATTTCACCTCCCACGGGAAGTAATATTTTTTTCCTCCCGTGGGAGTAAATTGACAGGTTTCAGTTAGAATAAATGACATGAGTTCACTCGGATCGCTCTGAAACTTTGTGGGCGCTTCTGCGCCTTTGTTTCGTTTCCTTACATACATATATACCTTGTTCATTATGTTAGACACTGATTCTCATTCTGAACGGGTACTATAGCCATACCTGGATGATATTTCCGGACGCTGATAATGAGATGGTACAGTTGAAATATCTACATTTAATGACGTTGGCTGCCAAAAAACGTTTCGTTGGGTCGTCTGTTAAATCTACTGGAGCAAGATCATTAGTCTTCACTTCGTAGAAGTCGGCGTACAGACGTAGAAAGGCTGCAAATATGATAGATAGGATATAAGCACCTATTGAAAAAAAAAGTTATATTTAAAAATACTGTAAATGAGAAATTTTTTGAGTTGAGGAAAGTTATCTCCTTTTCCATCATTCTCTTCGGTGCTATCGTAGTAGTAAAATTGAAATGGAGAGAGTTCTGATACTAATAAAATTATTCTTCTGTTAACCATCAAATGAATATGATATGATGAATAGAAAATTACTACATTCACAGTATCTTGATGTTATTGACAAATTAACTTGATATACAGGGTGTTTCATTGGGAAAGGTAAATAATTCAACTGTGGATAGGGGTCACTGGGGTGATTTGAAAAAACCTATGGTAATGGGTCTACGTTCTAGTAGAAGCGGCAATAAGGCCGGATCGTTCCAAATATTTCAGTAGTGTAGATTATGTTAATTTATACATACCATCGAAATTTCAGATTTATCCGTTGCCTGATTTGCCGAAAACGTCAAATTAACGCTCATCGTGAAAAGCCCTGTATAATTTTGATGACGGACCTGCAACTAAGTCCGGAACAAAGAACGATAAAAAATACTCCTTCTAAATGTAATACTCACGTATACTGAATAGGAAGTAATAAAATTAATAAATCTCGTCTGATTCCAATTTTGTACCCCAAAATGAGCAAAAATAATATTTTGAGCACATAATATGAATAGTTAAAATCGTCTGTGCACGAATAAAAAGCACATCGTTGAATAGAAATTTTGATGTTATTTCCAGATATGGCAAAAAAAATTAGAAATTCGAATGTACAGGGTGTTGTTTTCTGGCAGAAAGAATTTGTGAATTTTGAGTGAAGCCGGACCTGGATTTTATCTTTTGTTGTTGCCTCAATCAATTCCACAGGGTAGATTGAGCAAGTGCACCAATTTTTAAAAATATATACAGGTTGGTTGGAAAGTTATGAGACAATGAAGATATGGACAAAATTGATGAATCATCCTGTATCTCGGTTATAAGAAGTCGAAGACCCATCAACCATGGGTTTTTTGAAATCACCTCAGTGACCCCTATCCACAGTTGAATTATTTACCTTTCCCAATGAAACACCCTGTATAAGAAACTTCATAAGCTGCTGTGATTTTGTATTATGACTGCAAGAAAACTTTCCCAAAATCTTTTGAAACCATGACAACGAGAATAGGCGAGTGGACTATTTTTTTTATTTCTTTAATAGAATCATCACTCAGATTCCTTTCAATTACACATTTTTCAAGAATTTTTCGGTCGATTTTTAGGTGCTAAAATCATCAATAATGCCACGGTAATTCTTGAACGGCTAGAAAAACTACGCTAGTAATAACTGACGCCATGATTTCGTAAGTAGGGGTAGACCATAGCACAGTTGCCATGTGTTGAAATACAATTGGGAATTTCAGAAATATTATTAATTCAATAGTTCATAAATTCTCAATTGAGTATTGGTGATATCCCTAATTAGCAGTGAAAATCAAATTGTCCCAAAATGTTCACTCATAATTTGTAACTTACTGCTTATGATAAATTTGTGTGAATAATGATTATACAGGGTGTCCCATTGGGAAACGGAAAAAATTCAACGGTGGATAGAGCTCATCAAGGTGGTTCTGAATATACCATATTTGTAGGGTCACACAAGTTTTATAAATTTTGCCCAATTCTTTGTGAGGACATAACTTCCGAACCACTTAGTATATTCTTCCGCAATTTTTTTACCAAAGCGACTCACCTATCGGTCACGAAAAAAATCCAGGTCCGGATTCACAAAAGTTGATAATATTTCTGGACACCAAAAAGAACACCCTGTATTTTCGAATTCTCAAAATCCGCTAACATATTTGGAAAGTGCACAAAAAGCTGAACCGAATGGTGTACTTGTCATTTTCCCGCATGCAATTTCACTAAGGAATTTCTGATTTTGAATTCGAGCTTTCATGCATTTGGATAGGTGAAAATGATATGTTTTGAGTTTTCCCAATCGAATAACAACAATCATCACGAACCACCCAGTATATTCTTTCGGAAGTTGGTACACGAGTTCTCCTTATTCTACCCAAGCGCCTCACCTATCCTCCACGAAAAATCCAGGTCCGGATTAACGAAAATTGATCATATTTCTGGACCCCAAAAAGAACACCCTGTATTTTCGAATTCTCAAATCCGCTTACATATTTGGAAAGTGTACAAAAAGCTGAATTGGATGGTGTACTTTCCAATTCACAAAGGAATTTCTGATTTTGAATTCGAGGTTTTATGCAATGGGATAGGTAAAAATAATATGTTTTGAGTTTTCCCAATCGAATAACAACAATTATCACGAACCACCCAGTATATTCCTTCGGAAGTTGGTAGACGAGTTCTCCTTATTCTACCCAAGCGCCTCACCTATCCTCCACGAGAAAAATCCAGGTCCGGATTAACAAAAATTGATCATATTTCTGGACCCCAAAAAGAACACCCTGTATTTTCGAATTCTCAAATCCGCACACAAATTTGGAAAGTGGACAAAAAGCTGAACCGGATGGTGTACTTTCCATTTTCCCACATGCAATTTCACAAAGGAATTTCTGATTTTGAAATAGAAGTTTCATGCAATGGGATAGGTAAAAACGAGGGTAAAAATAATTATATTTTGAGTTTTCCGAATCGGATAATATCATCACGAACCACCCAGTATTTTTCTTTGGAATTTGGTACACGAGTTCTCCTTGATCTACCCGAGCCCCTCACCTATCATTCACGAGAAAAATCCAGGTCCGAATTAACGAATATTGATTATATTTCTGGGCCCCAAAAAGAACACCCTGTATTTTTGAAAGTCCATAATATGCTCAAATATTTGAAAATTGCACAAAAAGCTGGGTAAAAGGAGGAGGACTTGTGTACCAAATTCCAAAAGAATATACTTGGTGATTCGTGATACTTCCTGTTATTCGATTGGGAAAACTCAAAACATTTCATTTTTACCTATCCAAATGCATGAATCCTCATATTCAAAATCAGAAATTTTCAAGTGCAATAGCATGCGGAAAAATGGAAAGTTCATCATACGATTCAGATTGTCATGCACTTCCCAAATATGTGAGTGGATTTTGGAAATTCGAAAATACAGGGTGATATTTTTGGGGTCCAGATATATGATCAATTTTCGTTAATCCGGTCCTGGATTTTTCTCGTGACTGATAGGTGAGTCGCTTTGGTAGGAGAAGGCGGAATTGTGTACTAAATTCCAAATGAATATACGAGGAAGTTCGTAAGTTATGTCCTCACAAAGAATTGAACAAAATTGATAAAACACCCTATCTCTCGGATATAAAACTTGCGAGACCCTACAAATATGGTATATCTAGAACCACCTTGATAAGCTCTATCCACTGTTGAAGTTTTTCCGTTTCCCAATGGGACACCCTGTATTAATTCATAGTAGAGGACATTTGAATCGGTGAACGTGTTGACACGGCGGACGACTTGTGGGCGTGGTCTTGTCAGTTCTCAGCATTCAGGACAATGTTGCCAAGTCTCCAACATTTCCATGATTTTATTATGGTGAATAAGAAATATCTGGACATGCTGGTTGCTCGAAAAAGTCATGAATGAACTATAATATCATGGGTTCCTCTTATTATGTTGTATTCAACGACAGGGCTCTAACATCTTTTTGATAGCTTGATTATAATTGGTAACTCGACAACCATGCTCCATGAGTAGAAATAACAGACTATCTGAACAATAACAAAACAGCATATAAGCTGACGTCACAATTCATTCGACGTATCGCCAAAGTGCTGCCATGAAGGTTCGTTTGAAATGATCTCTGGAATTCAACAATTTCGAAAAACGCATAGACTTATCAAAAACATAAAAAAAGCGTGAAAACTGCTGCAAAAATTAATTCAGCTTCCTCACAACACAGTGGAGTAATCGAATGCCAATAATTCATTATCAGTCCACTCGTTTATTGTGAATGAATAGAATATTTGATGGCGTTTATGTCAATCTTTCCAAATCTTGCGTTGTCAGAATAGGATCTAATCTGTGGAAATATCGCGATTTGAAGTGAGGAAATTGTAAATTCCGTCAACCATCAATCACCTACATATTCAATTAATTGTCCTTCCAAATCACAGTCAAGCTTTTGTTGAGTCATAATAAACTTGACATTTATAATTCGAATTCAAACGGACTCGTAATTTTCTCGAAGGCAATTCGAAATGTCTATTTGACTTCGACAACAAGAAGCTTCCGTGTGAAGATGATCATTGGAATCCAACTTGATTTGCTACAGAAAATGAATTTTTATATCTCTTGGAGCGCACGGAAGAGCATCATTGTAAGGTTCGAAGAATATTGTGCGAAACTATGGAGGGTAACAAGAAGGATGTATCTGAGGTAAGGAAGTCTGTACGAAATATTCTGTGATTCACTTATATACAACTAGAAAAGGGTATTATAAACTCGAGATGTAAAAAGGAAGCAACAGTCAGTTTTCTGTGATACCCATGAAAACTGAAATTTTTTTTCAACCACAGTAGGGAGTTTATGTGACCATCACACACCACCGCCGCCGCAGTGACGTCAGCAACCTTGGATGTGGGTGATCTGGAGCGTGTGACGACGTGACCTTCCAAGAGCTCTGGAAATACCTGCTGCTGTTCGCATCGACCACCAAATCACAAATTGAATGTTCGTGATAATTTGATATATGTATACAGGGTGTAACAAATTCGTGGCTAAGCATGTATATCCTGGTAACTTCAAAGAGATACAGAGTAGTAGTGGGGCGAAGTTGTACAATTTCATGCTCAATGAAATGCTGCTTCAAAATCAGAAAGATTTCACTCATTTCCGGAGATATCGGGAAAAAGAGGGAAATATGCAAAGTCGTTTCAATGCATTACTCATTTCCTATAGAAATATTTCGAAATAAATGCCACTTCATCGAAAAACTTTTCCACCTCTACAAATTGACATTGTCTAATTAGAAATCC